CCTGTTTAAGTCAAATGGTCGTCATGGCACCCTTATAACGGTACTGACTCGATTTGTCAGTTGGCTTCGTGTCAAAAGAGGTATGCAACGATACCAGTACTTCGACCAGAAGTAGACGCGGCTGATGTGCAATTGACGACTTCAAGTTTGACATGCAACGAACAATACAAATGATCGAGACTCCGTTTCGAATATCCGACTCATTCTTACGTATTTCCCATTGTGTTTGTTTGTCCTTGTTTCCTCTCGTCTATCAAAATCTCACGACGACATGATTGTAATCGTAAGGAGATATGATTGTAATTGTGAGGGGATGTGGGCATGCCGTTGCAATATCTCAGGCGCTAACGTCCGCCGGGATTTTGTATTCCATAGAGCTATTGACTAATGAAGCGCTTTTCATCAGCCACGCAAGCCGGGTTTTCCTGCGTAGCAAAGCTTTAATATCCTTGACGAAATGACTGTATCGATCCGTATCCTCTAGAGCTATAACAAAGCGTCTGTGTTGATACCAAAGCGTTTGTTTTGATAAAAACGCCTGTGTTGTTGGATAAAGTCAAGAGTTTCAAGAACACGTCTGTTGGTTTGCAAAAAGTCTGGTGTCACGAACAAAACGTCGGTTTGGCTACTAACAATGTTTGTGTTCCCATCCGTTCCCAGCTGTCAGTACAGATCATGTACTCTATTGACAACGACCGCTATTCAATACAGCGCGTCGACTTACGCGTGACGAATTTCAACTCTATCACGACTGTCGTCCAAGCTGACCATCCTGTCCACGATCTTCCCACAAGCCGTGTAACCCGTCATATCGGTACCCACCCCCGCTGTCGCATCCGGTTATCGGTATACGTATTGTTTTTTTCGAGGTCCGTCCGCGTATCGGAGCTGCTTCACTGCTTTGAAGGCCAAAGATCGTCGGAATGACCAGCAGCGACACGTCTGCGCGGCCACTGGCCGAGACCGTACTCTACGCCGAGTTCGACTTGATCAAAGGCAGTACGCTCCGCGGCAGCTACCCGCGCTCGTTTACGCACTACTCGCCCGAGTTTTTTGCCGACATCATGTTGCCCGAAGGTGTGCACAACCGGCACGAGGACTTTACCATCTTTTTCCTCAACCGGCACACGTCGCCCAAAGGTCTCTTAGGCGTAGACCATTGTGTACCCGATGGGGCTACTGCTACTTCGGATGCTGCTACTTTTTCGTCGGACATCAGTCCCACAGACTCGACGCGAGTGGAGGAGGACGGGCGGGACCCACTCAAGCGCTTCATGTACTGCCTCAGCGTCGTGCGCACGACTCACGACACAGCCGCTCGACGCGGCGCCAAAGTGACAGCCGTCGCGCTGTGCTCGACGTACAGGACGTGCGTGGCGCTCAAGGACGTGCTGAATATGGCGGTCCTGAAGATGGTGGCCACGACCTCCGAGACGGAGAGTGAGCAGGTGCTGAGAGAGCTTTTCGACGTCGTGAATGCTGTCGACATCTCTGGCCTCAGCAGTATGTCGAGTCTGGAGCGGAGGCTCAGTCGGTGCCGCTCGATTGGCCGCTCGGGACGAGCTCAGGACGATCCGAACGAGGCCACGACGCTTGCAAAAGCCCGACTCTTCCAGACAGAAGCTTGTTGGGACGACATTTCCATGTCTCTGCAATTTCAAATTGGCAATACGGACGACCAGCACGACGACGGCACGTTGATGCTCTTGCTGCAGACGTTTGGAGACCAGACAATGGTGCTGTTCAATGCGGTGCTGACGGGCCAACGGGTGGTCATGCTGGGGTACAATCGACCGGCGGGCGAAGTCTGTAACTTTGTGCTTGCCACTAGCTCCCTCGTGTGTCCACCGCTGTTTGGACTTGTTGATCGCCAGTATCCGTACGTTGTTTCGGCTGTGCTGTTGCTGCTTGTGTGACTCATGCAGAGCGCTGTTCGTTTTCGGCACACGAAATGGCTCTTCGTTTCGGACAGGTATGCAAATCTCACGGATTTAGGCTTCCTGTCCACGCCTGGATATATCGCTGGCGTGACGAACCCAATGTTCAAGACGAAGCGCGAATGGTGGGATGTGCTATGCGACATTTCGACCGGTGAAGTGTTTGCGGCAGCGCCAGTGGAGAAAGAGGAATACGATGCTTTGGATCGTAACTTTGTCCTCGAGGTGTGTTTACAGGCAATGCCTTGTAACAACAAATGCTTTTGACGTGCTGACAAAGTTTCGCAGGTATTGGACGGAGTAGCTGCAGGTTACGACGAAGAATGGGTGCGGAGCATGTACGAGGAGTACGTGTGCAAAAATGTCGTGGACATTGCGGTGGGGGAGGCGAATTACCTGAGCCGTGACGCGCTGGCAAAATGCTCAGCAATGAACAACAAGCGTATCACCAAGTGGGCTCGCACGGACAGCTACCGACTCTTCATGGACTTGCGACATGGCTTGCACACCCACTCGCCGGCGTTCAATATATCCTACTCATGTGCTTTACATGTGCTTGCTTTGTAGCAAGTGGAGACCTGCACGTATGCGAACGAATGTGGTGCTGCCATGGTGCCTTAACGTGACAAGGCCGATCGTTATGTTTTTGCTGTGTGTTGTGATTACGTAGAGAAGACAGGTGTGGACCTAAAGCGGCATATCCGGAGTCTTCAAGGTGACATGATGGAGCTGGATGACACGCTCGTGGAGAAAATTTACTCGGACTTTGTAGCGCTCTTGGAGACGGAGCTGGAGCTGCAGGAGTTCTTGAGTTTCTTGCCGGTGCTGCGTGGAGGCTTGCAAACCGTTGCACAGGGGATATTTCATCCGTCCATCAGCGTCAAGTACAACACTGTGGTGCTGCTGAAGCGCCTGGAACAGTTTCCCTCGACTGCATCCAGCGTGCACAAACTGAATCCGTTCCTTCTGATGTCGTACCAGCGGATCCATGATGTTGTCAAGCCCGATGTAAAAGAGTAACGCCGTGGACAAGTGGCGACCCAACGAGTAGACAGTGGCTGTTGAGCAAGCAGTGACGATGAGGTACGCGCTTGGATGGAAGTTGCACCGAGTCTTTGGTCGGAAGTCGCGTATCTCAACGATTCGAGGGCGAAAAGCTCAACAAATCAATGCCATTTCTGACAAGTGAGTTGCGATTAATTGCATTCGTGTTGCAAGTGCTGTGCAAAAGTGGTCTCGAGAGCTTTGGCTTCTTGACACTGCTGCGTCCCACGACGACAGAAGTGTGCACAGTAGTACCGCCAGGTCGCCACACTGTGTGCGGTGTGCCCTCTTTTTGGTCGCGAAAAATCGACCAAGTCACAACGCGACCAATCTCGCTGAAGTAAGGGCAAGCCATTCATTCACCTGCGCATCATCACCCCCACAACACGCTCTGTTCTCGCTCGCTCAGTCTTGCCACATTGCATCGACGGCACGTCCCCCACCTTCGGACAACATTTACTGCCGCCCCCTTGTGTGTCACGTGCGCACTTTTGTGTGCCGTACACGACATTCCAGCGCACCAGTCATGTCGTTCCGCCCGCGCCTCGAGCGCGTCCAGCAGCTCCAGCAGCTCGCAGAGAACCGCGAGAAGAACCTCGTGCCCGTGTACGTGGATGCAGTCGCAGACCTGGACACGCCCGTGAGTGTCCTCCTCAAGCTGCGCGCGCGCCAGACGCACTCGTTTCTGCTCGAGTCCGTCGCGCCGGGGGAAAAGATCGCGCGCTATTCGTTCATTGGCGCTGGTCCGCTGCACGTATTGGCGACGGGCAAAGGACAGGACGTTGAAGGCGACCCACTGGTGTACCTGGAGAAGGAGATGCAGCGCTTTCGGACCGTGACGCTGCCGGAGCTCAACGTGCCCATGACGGGCGGCGCTGTGGGCTACTGCGCTTTCGACGCGATTCGCCATTTCGAGCCCACGATTGCGCCGTTTGTGGACGCGCAAAAGGACGTGTTGAACGTGCCTGAGAGTCTGTTTATGTTTTTTGATACGATTGTGATCTTTGATCACGTGTTTCACTCGCTCAAGATTGTGTCGCACTGTCGATTGGACACACACGATTTGGCTGCAGCGTATCGAGAAGCGACCGAGAAAATCGCGGCTGTGAGTGCTGCGCTAGAGAACCGGCTGGCGTATTCGCCTAGTGTTGCGCGTGACAAGGATACACAGGAAGTGTCCACGATTGACTTGGAAGCCGCCTCGAACGTGGGCAAAGCGGGGTACATGGACTTTGTCGAGAAACTCAAGCAGCGTATTGTTGATGGTGATATCTTTCAGGCAGTGCCGTCGCATCGTCTGGCTGCAGACCTTCCAAAGGGCGTGACCGCGCTGGATTTGTACCGCCAAATGCGCGCCATTAACCCGTCGCCGTATATGTTTTACCTCGACATGGGGGAAGATTTTCAGATTGTCGGTGCGTCGCCAGAGATGCTGGTCAAAGTAGACCACGCCCGCGTCGTGGAGACACACCCGATAGCTGGAACTCGTCACCGTGGTGCTGACGACGCGGAAGACGACGCGCTGGTGAAGGACCTGCTTGCTGACGAGAAGGAGCGTGCTGAGCATATAATGCTGGTGGATCTGGGTCGCAACGATGTTGGTCGAGTGGCCAAGCCAGGCTCTGTCCGGGTCGAGCGTCTTATGCAGATTGAAAAGTACTCGCACGTGATGCATATCGTTTCCGTCGTCAAGGGAGACCTACGGGAGGATCGAACGGTGTATGACGCGTATCGTGCCATGTTCCCTGCTGGTACGCTGTCTGGCGCCCCCAAAGTGCGTGCTATGGAGCTCATTTGCTCGCTCGAGACCGAGCGACGTGGCGTCTACTCTGGCTCTGTGGGCTACTTTAGTTTCTCCGGATTCCTGGACACAGCGATTGCCATTCGCACGATGGTGGTCAAAGACGGCAAGGTCTACTCGCAGGCGGGCGGTGGCATCGTGTACGACTCTGACCCGCAGGCCGAGTACATGGAGACGGTGAACAAGTTGGGCTCAGCCATCAAGACTTTGGAGAAGTGCGCTGCACACATGGCACCAACTGCCCATTAAGACCAGCTCTTGCGCTATTATTTCGTTGTTCTTCTTGCCGAGCAAAGTGGCATCGACAATAGCCTAAGACACAGAAGAGGCCGATGAGCATGCTGCATTCACACGTGCTCATGGACTTTCGTACTAAATGGTCCGAAACGTCGACTTGTGATCCATAGTCCGCGACGCAACGTGCAAAGCATAACAGCGTTTTACGAGGATTCGATGCGGTATTCCTGTCAGCAAGCAACAGCAAACGCCACTTTAAACAGTGAATCTGGTACGTCTAGATTCCGAGCTGTTTCCAATCCACCTCTGTCATTCCCATTTGGCTCGAGCAACTATGAACAAGCAATGCTTTCTTTCTTTCTTCGTAAGCAGCAACGATATGTTTGCATTCCATTCAGCGCCCACTGTTAGCGACTGACTTACCGAACACTCTACACCGATCGCTGGCAGTCTGCAATAACGCTTATGTCAGACAAACGGATATGAAGCACTGCTGCTGATCGAGGCTGTGAAGACACTTGTAGGCAACGACAAGGATGTTTGGATATCGTGAACTCATTGCAGCAGCAACACCGATAGGTATCGATCTACTAGTCACTCAGCAGGTATATGTTCACGCGTCGCGTGTGACCCTGTGGACACAACGCGCATGGCGCTCTAAATCGTTCGCGGTGTAAATGCTCGTTCGTGCTTTTGCCAGAAGGGAAGAAAGCAAGACTACGGACACGATCGCAGTACACCATCTTGATTGGGGAAGAGCCATTACGACAAGTTTAAGGTTCGTGAACGTTCTTGTGGTTTGTCCTGGCTAGAGCAAGCGACCGGGTTGTCAAATTGCTACATCTGGCTCTCCGAGCTCCGTGCATGTATAGCTTGGACTCCATTGGCCTGCCTGGAATCGCTTGCGCCCCAATCCCAGTTATTCACCTACTCTTTCTGCCCCAGCCAGTCATGTCGTTTGGACGTGCCCCGCGGCGCAACGTCACTGGCAATATCTGATTTCCTTGTGGGTGACACCTCGGTGGTTTTGAGGATGACCATGACATCCATGTTTAAGCGTTTGGTTTTACTTTGCCAACCTGCCCACGCAAAGCTTGGGAAGCAGCTACGGCATCGCTTGCGGCAAGCGAAGTGACACATGAGGCACGTGAGAGCCTTTTTGCGGCAACAAACGAGCTTTGGCGCTTTATGGTTGCGACCACAGCCTACACAATCCGGACTGAACGGCTTCGTCGGACGACAGACTCGACCTTGCCGATAGAAGTGCACCAGGCCCTAGCCCAGAGTGGATTACGGCGCGCCCTAGTGCGTTTTCGCGGCTCGACGTATCACTCGGGTCTTTGGGTTGGTGGGTGGGCTCAGGCTCTCGTGAGATCGGCGCTGGTGGATACTCTGCTTCACCACATTGCACCAGCGCCTCTGCGGTCTCTACCTGGCGAATGGATTCAGATTTCCTGTACTTGCTCTTCTTTGCCGGACCATCTCGCGGAAATTAGGGACCTGGCGGAGACGGATCGACTATAATCGAATTACACGTCATCACTCATGCGGCAGCAATTGTGTGGGTTAACAGCGTGGCATTGACTGAGGCGTATATGACGGACATAGCTGTAGCATACAAAGGTCTCATCCATGGACTTCAACAAGCACGAAGTAGAAATCTCGTGCCACTTCCCATCGTTGGGGACAGCAAGAAGGTTTTGACGCAGCTTCGAATGCGCCGGCCTCCACTCAAGTCCTATCTTTTAGCGTTGTATCATCAGGCTCGAAATATCGCTGAAGATATTGCAGTCGTCAGCTGGGTGCACCACGCTTGCGAATATAATCGCATGGCTACTTTAGCGGCCAACGTTGCCCTCGACACAGCGTACTCCACAGGTGTTATCTGTACACAATCCAGTCTGCTTGTCCGCTCGCTACAGAATAGCTTGAATCTCGACCTTAATCACTGGAGCGAGATGTCACACTATGCGGACTACGACGTGGGCCGCGGTTTATCTACTCCTGCATCCGTCCTTGTTGGGCCCAAGCGTCACCAGTGTCGGCTTTCACCTGCTGCCAGGGGCACCCCACATGTGTATTCATTTGCTTTCATTGCGCGGCGTAGACTATAGGCTGCAGTCAAACGGATATTCTAAGTCGGCAATCCTACTTTAATATACCTCACACAACAACAAAAATATAGCTTGGACTCTATCATAGTCAATTACACAGTCGATGCGCATAAAATGCGCTAGAATGCCGGCAATGGGAGGAAACGATAGAGCTACACGTTCGTCTTGCGCGCGTGCTCGTGTTAGCAGATTCCTCATATGTGCGTTCGGAGATGAAGCAGAAGCTTTGCGGGAAGACGCAGTGCATCCACTACATCTTAGTTTGGCATGGACGAACAATTGTACAGCTTTATCGATCGAAGCTGTGCGTTTGTATTCCATCTGGGTACCAACTGTGCATAGCTGATACTTCAGCACACTACACGCCCTGCTGGAGAGGCCTAAGCGCTACGTTGCTCGAGAGGTGTAGACCGGAGCGAGAAGTCACGGTGACAGCCCCTCCTTGCAAACAAATTTTGCACAATTTCGTAAAAAGCGGAACCAGGCAGTCAATGTGGTCTCGGTACCAGTCGTTTCCCAGATCGTCCGGCCCACACGCTTATCCTCGATATAACTTTCTGATAGCTTTGCGCACCCCCGCCTCCGTCACGTGGTCGCATAGCCCCTCGAGGCCTTCGACGCCAGCGCGGGAGGGAAGCGCAGCAGCGAAATCATCGATCCTATCGGGTCCCGCCGCAGGTTGCTGCATTACACCTTGTTATACGTCTCCCATGACGTCAGGAAGCCTGCGAGACCGCAACGACCCGTTGAGAGACGAACTGCCCAAGTAGATGACACTGGTGTCCATGAATTTAGTGGAGACACGCCAAAAGAATGCACGGGTAGAGCGACCGGGGTGAAGCGTATGGGATCAAAGAAGGGACCGGCTAGTGAAAGCTTGCAAACGAGCCCGCCAATCCGAATTGCACGCCGAATTGGGGTTACCGTCTCGCAGCAAGTCATGTCACCTGCGCCGGCGCCGCTTGATATGACGACAGGAGTGACCCCCGCAGCTTCGAAAAGCTTTTTTCTAAACCGATGAAGACGTTGACGATATCCGGAAGTTGACTTGCGACGTGAAGCTCGTTTGACCGCTAGGTAGCTCGTGCGAAGATGAACCTTGGCTCATCCCCTTACATTGCTGTAGCACGCGCCTAACGCTCTCCCCCAGTAACCCTCGCCATAGAAGCGTCAAGCTGGGAATGTGCAAACGCGAAGAAATTGGATGAGATTTGAAGCACGGCCTCCGTAGCGTACCGAGGCAGCGGATACACTCTTCGAGAATGTTTGAACCAAACGAAAGCGTCCGGAGAAGCGACGCGCACAGCAACGTCGTCACGATCAGAGGATGGGCCAGAAATTGGTGTGGGTACCATTCAAATCCAGCTAGCGTGTTCCCCATAGATGTACCATCGATCAAGCCGGCTGCTGGCTTGCTGCTCCCCAGCTAGAGTGTATGATACTTTTGCTGTCGATGATAAAATAAAGCTCACCTCTTTTTCTTCCCGAGCACGAAGCGCTTCGTCGTCCAAGGCATCAACCAGCACGCAATAGTAGAGCAACGACCGTATAGCCGCGGAATCATGGGTCTGCGGCGGAGTCAGATAGGAGCGACCCATCAGGGTATCAAGGGTGCAAACAAGAGCATCCAAGAGTAGAAAGGGACGGGGTGCGGTAGCGATAATAATGTCGAGTTCAATGGACAGAGCTTCTCGGTCTCGCGCACCGAACGTGGCGTAGCAGTTAAAAATAATGCGTGAAATTCCATGCAGATCAGCAATATCCGCCATCCTATACGGGCTCCGATAGCTCACCCGATACGGCTGCAGATTCATAACAGAGCTATATGGGCGAATGAAACTGCCAACACCACCGCTTCTCCCAGCATTCTGCACAGAACAGGCGCTCCAGACACTCAGCATCCTTCCCCCTCCCGCACTCGCGAAACCCCACGAGCGTAAGTGATGGGCTCGCGCGTCGTCTATGTCACTTTGGCCGATACGATTCTCTTGTACGCAGACCAAGTCCGTATCGCCATACTCTTGGCGTTGGCGAAAGTGTGAATACCAAACATTTCGACGTCCGTGGCGTCGACCGAGCCTTGCACGTTCTGTGCCAATTGGCCGAGCGTGTTGTCGTGATCGACACGATGAGACGGGAAACTGTAATGCCGACGCACGAACGCCGTCAGTCGGTTGACGGCCCGCGGTAGCAAAAGCGACAGGAACACGACGTGATGTCCGAGCCGTGCCGCTCACAGTCTCCAATGAAAATTTAGCATCGACTGGGACCGCTGTCGTCTCCATGTTTGACAAGGGCCAAAGCGCGAGACTACGACCTGTTGAAGTCAGTATTCGCCACGGGGAGCTGGATGTTAGAGGTAGCTTCATACACACGACCCCTGCTGTCTGGAAGTTGCGGTCGCTCTGCGGGGGAAATAGGTGCGGAAGCAGGAGAATCACAACTGTTAAGGCGAGCATCTTAGAAATGGGTAACAGCAGGCCCGTAATTGCTAGGAGAAGGTCGGGTTCGACCTGTTCGAGACGTACCCACCAACTGATTGCATCCGTTAAAGTCCAGCGCGCTCGTCCATGCGAGATGGCGTTGACATCCTTGATATGGTCGAAGCAGAGCTTGCAAACCGGCGAAGGAAGAGCCCTGTCGGCCGCGTAATGACTCATAAGCGCCGGTTGAGATTGACTATTATCAACGCTGCCAAGAATGGTAAACTTGGCCGATGATAGGCCTTGTAGCGCCAACATGGGGTAACGAAGGTGCCGAAGAAGATCAGTCAACGCGTCGACGAGATTGGAAATAAAGGCTTCGAGCGTGCATGCGCCACTATCAGCAGGAGCTCTGAGGCGACAAATAGACCTTTGTCGGTTCTTCCGCATCCAAGTAGTGACAGGCGATACGTGG